CTGCACAGGAGGAGCGGCTGGTATCTGTGGAGCTGTGGGCTGGGTACCATCTGTCGGCGGGAGCGAGAGACGATGAAGCTCCCAAGCATTTCACTACGTTACCAACATCATATTTGCACGCATAAGTCGCTTGCCTAATTGTGTGTTCGTATCGAATCTCATCTCAAGCAATCGAAGGACGCCTCCCCCTAAGTGGCAGCTGCCCCTGTGTGGCACAAGGTGGCCCTGCACCGGCCTGCACGTGGACATGAGTCTGTCGGTAGGGGGCGATCATTGACGCGCCGTCTCCGTTGTGTAGTTTCTGGATAATATTTGGAATTGCCACAATTTTGACCGTGACACCGACATGCAATGACCTGTGCGTCGTGAATGACACAACGCTATGTTTTTACATCTGCCGTGAAGCAGACTGCGCATATTGTGGTGCATGTTACTGGGGTAGCCAGGTGTGCCTGTCGCATTTGAACCTTGAACCTCTGCAATAAATAGAGAATGCGCTACCATATTGTTGGTTCTTTCGGTAAAGTCACGTAAATAGAAAACAAAAATTGGAAAATAATAAATTGATGAAAAGATGCCATTTGTCGACTGACTGAGATGACTGTGCACACCTATGTGCACACGCACACACAGTGTACACACACACAGTGTACACACACACACAGTGTACACACACAGTGTACACACACATACAGTGCACACACACAGTGTACACACATAGTGTCCACACATAGTGTACACACACAGTATACACACAGTGCACACACACACAGTGTACACACACTGTACACACAGTGTACACACACACAAACTGAACACACACACACACTGTGTACACACACACAGTGTACACACACACAGTGTACACACACAGTGTACACACACAGTATACACACAGTGCACACACAGTGTACACACACACAGTGTACACACACTGTACACACACACACAGTGCACATACACACACAGTGTACACACACACAGTATACACACACAGTGTACACAAACACACACACTGTGGACACACACACAGTGTACAAACACAGTGTGTACACACACACACAGTGTGTGTGTACACACACACAGTGTACACACGCACAGTGTACACACACAGTGTGTACACACACAGTGTACACACACACAGTGTACACACACACACACACAGTGTGTGTACGTACACACACTGTGTGTACGTACACACACACAGTGTACACACACACAGTGTACACACACACACAGTGTACACACACACACAGTGTACACACACCCAAGTGGTCTCTGTTCAAGGGAGGGAGCAATGGAAAATGAATCTAAATCAACATAAAATCCAACCCCTCTCTGTGACGTCACCACTCAGCGTTACCTCATCGGAGTGAAACGCCAGGGGGAGGTGTACCTCTCTAGTGACGTTATGTCACCAAGGCGTTCACCCCATCCCGTTCAAGGTGCCCTTGAACGTGACGTCGCCTCTGCCTGGGTCGCCATTTTCTGTTCAAGTAGAATCCATATTTGGGCAAGGCCACGCCCAGTGACTGGCGGCTCATTAACATAATCTATTCACGTACGAAGCCGCTCATTGTGGGAGGGGAGTGTTATCGTCCCCCACAAGTGACGTCATGTCACCTCTTGCTGCCACGTGACGTCACGGGATAACAGGAAGCTGCTGCTCCGCCCGTGCACTGAATTTCGAGGTGAGAAATTCTCATCGCGGTTGTGGTGGTTGTTGTGGTGGTGGTTGTTGTGGTGGTGGTGGTGTTGTTTACCGAGGTAGAGCCTCGCTCTCTCTCGTAGGGATGTCAATTGAGTAGCAGCGAGCATGGAAGCGATGTCCAGGTTGAAACTTCACAGCGCGGGGCCTAGCCACGCGGGGCCTTGCCTCCTGCCCTCGCCTGATCGCGTTTGCTTCAATTATCTCGCTTAAGTTTAATTTGTCTTCAGGCGGCTCGCCACTTTGTCACTTTGTTTTACTTTTAAATATTCACGCGGTTTTTATTTATTTTTATTTTTTACACCAGGCCAAGCCCGCTTGAGCTGCTGTACCGCTTTTTGTTTTCAGAAGCGACCTGCCCACAACACAAGGTGAGGCTCCTCAACAGCGTGGCGGTGTTCACGTCTTGACGCGTGGCGGTGTTGCACTCTGGACGCGTGGCGGTGTTCACTCTGGACGCGTGGCGGTGTTCACTCTGGACACGTGGCGGTGTTCACTCTAGACGCGTGCGGTGTTCACTCTGGACACGCTGGCGGTGTTCACTCTAAACGTGTGGCGGTGTTCACATCTGGACGCGTGGCGGTGTTCACTCTGGACGCGTGGCGGTGTTCACTCTACCTGGTGGAGTGAGGGAGCATGAATTCTGAGCAGGGTGAAGGTGGCCAGGCATGGGTCTGGACACACCACCACCTGTGAACCGTGCCAGTGTGTGACAGTGGTGGAGCCAGTGGGGGTGGGGGTAGGCACGTGCCCCCCAACGATCCGATCGAAATCCCTAATTTCGATAGGATCATTGGGGCTTTATTAGTAACTAGCTTCACTACCCGGCTTCGCCCGGGACTTGGATTCTTGTCTTGGATAAATTTCATATCCCTTATATTTCACTGAAAAACCCTTTAAAATGTTGATCCTTGCGAGAAAGAAAAAAGGCGAAACAAATCAAGTTACCTAAATCGGATGTTTTCACTCAAGGAAATTTTACCTTAATCCACTTCTATGCAAGGTCGATTTTGGCCACTCGGGAAGGGAATAATGACGTGGCGAGCTGAAAATAGTCGCGTTCACTTAGAAATTCCAAACGGCATAAGCTGTTAAAATTTTCACGACGCCAGAACTCAGCGTTGGAGAGGTTTTGCTGCTTCACACAAACAAACATGTAATGTTCTGCTTCATATTTAAGATAGCAGTTCTACCCGTTCTTCGCACGGAGGATATGTATTTAAACTCCGAGAAACCAATGGCTTCATCGGCCAGGAGCGAAGCGCCACCTAAAATCTCCCGGCACGCTGTTAACAGCCCTATCTGTGCTGCCAAATACATCTTTCCCTGGATGTTCTTCCCTGTGTATGTATCTCTGCTAGCCTTGTACCTCGTATCTGTTCACTCTGTCTATGCTGGTTTGTTCAAGCCCAGGAGGATGAACACGAAATTTAGCAGTCTTCTGAAATTCGTGGTCTACCAGGGCAAGTGTCTAACTGTGTTGTTGTCCTACTGGTTTTGCATCACGTAATTTTTCTTAGGTTTGTTGAGTTCTCGTCTCTCATCTTCTTGTTGTATTTGCCTCCGTGCAGTTTAACGCTCTCTATGTGTTGCGTTGATGTCACCCTATGTGCTCCCTCGCTATTTGTTTTTTAACACCTGATGATGATCGCTTGTGTTGCGTTCGAAACGTCGTGATTTATTTTAATATAATTTTATTATATTTCTACATACGGGACTTTACCGAAAAAACCAATGAGTAATTTATGCATTCACGAAAGCTTCAATTCTATATTCATTGCAGAGCGCTTAACTCAGGTGTGTTGCGGGTTGACGCCACAAACTTCATGGTCATACAAAATACAAAAGTCTATTTTTATACTTTTTTCATTGTGCACGGTATGGAACCTCTACCCACATGCCAAATTTCAGGTGTGTAGTATGTCGGGAAGTATGCTAAACATTTCGAACAGACACACACACACGTATCCACACATTTCCCTTTTATATATAGGCTAGCTTTACTACCCGGCTTTGCCCGGGACTTTGATTCTTGTCTTGGATTAAAACACGGTCTTCGCGGAGTGTTGGTGGGGGGGTGTGCGTGACGTCAGCAGGCACACTGCGTAACGATGCCGCATAGGGTGACATCTCAGATATGACGGCTATTTTAATACTTTGTGCATTGTGTCCAGTCTGGAACCTACCCACATGCCAAATTTCAAGTGTGTAGTATGTCGGGAAGTATGCTGAACATTTCGACCAGACACACATTCACAAATTTCCCTTTTATAATTATAGATGAATCAGCATTTTGCAACCCCCACTGCCACCGTGTGGCATATTATTACGTGTCAGGGACTCTATGAGAGGACAACAGTCCGTGTTCATAATTGGCAATAAGTAACGGCAAAAGCAGTTACAAGCGACTCACAGAATTGTGCGCAGTTGCGTATGCAGTACACGACTTCCCTGAAGGCAAACACCTTCAGCGAGCACGATGCCTTTCACACGCGTCGAATTAAAAGCATAGGACAACTCCTTACTTAGTAAAAACTCGTGACTAACAACTCCTTATTTACTAAAAACTCCTGACTAACAACTCCTTACTTACTAACAACTCCTGACTAACAACTCCTTACTTCCTAACAACTCCTTAATAATAACTTTTTACTTAGTAACAACTATCATTTTTCATTGCTGAAAGGGGTTGCCCCCCCCCCTACCTGAAAATCCTGGCTCCACCTCTGAGTGTGTGACAGGGTCAAGTTTGTATTTGCAGTAAAGTCTATTAACTCTATTGAGCACGGAGGTTATATCAAAACAGTAGTTTATTTTTGTTTTCCTCTGCAACTCTTTGTAAGAAATTAGTGCAGCTGAAGTCGGAACTGTTCATCCCAGCATTCAAGGACATCTGTGCCTGGCTTTCACACCTCTACGTTGTGATTGAACATTAATTTATGCGTTTCTGCATAACACAAATAGTTTTATTTTCAACACCCTTTGCTACGTCAGCGGAATTTAGCTTTCATAAATATTCCTTTTGAAGCCAGACAGCCGAAATTATGTGCTCGGAGTTTTGGGTTAACATTCATTTTGAAGATACGAGGACTTCCAGGCACGTTTATGACCATTTGCCCTCTCATTGTGTGCCATAACAGCCCGTGTGATGAATTTGGGATACGTTTTCACTATAACATGAATATATGAATAAGTATAGACGTGTGAGTCACGTGTGACTGTATGAATGCATTCCTCTGTGCATAGATACTTACGTGTAGATGGTGTGGATATTCTTTTTTTCTGCCTGCAGCTGTCGCTTCCTCTGCAGAATTGGTCTGATGGAGCAAAGGCACTCGGCGCAGCTCGGTGCAAAAAGGCATCAATGCGACCGGTGTGCATACAGCACGGATAGTACTGCACATTTCACGTGGCACCAGAGAACCCACACGGGAGAGAAACCCTTCAAGTGCAATGTGTGTGGGAAGGCGTTTGCACAGTCACCAAATCTTTATGTACACCAGAGAACACACACGGGAGAGAAACCCTTCAAGTGCAGTGTGTGTGGGAAGGCGTTTTCACAGTCACCACATCTTCATGTACACCAGAGAACACACACGGGAGAGAAACCCTTCAAGTGCAGTGTGTGTGGGAAGGCGTTTTCACAGTCACCAAAGTCTTCATGTACACCAGAGAACACACACGGGAGAGAAACCCTTCAAGTGCAGTGTGTGTGGGAAGCGTTTTCACAGTCACCAAGTCTTCATGTACACCAGAGAACACACACGGGAGAGAAACCCTTCAAGTGCAGTGTGTGTGGGAAGGCGTTTTCACAGTCACCAAGTCTTCATGTACACCAGAGAACACACACAGGAGAGAAACCCTTCAAGTGCAGTGTGTGTGGGAAGGCGTTTTCACAGTCACCACATCTTCATTGTACACCAGAGAACACACACGGGAGAGAAACCCTTCAAGTGCAGTGTGTGTGGGAAGGCGTTTGCACAGTCCATCACATCTTAATGTACACAAGAGAACACACGAGCATCAGAAGATCCACAAGGAGTGGAGTCTGAAATCAGCTTGTGAAAGTCAAAGTGCCGCAATGAGCCCATCCCTCATGAACAGAACCGGAAAGAAAATCCCAGCTTGGACACTTTTAAAGGTATCGAGGTGAAATATGAAGAGGTGAAGGTGAAATGTGAAGAAGTGATGGTGAAGAGCGAAGAAGTGAGGGTAAAATGTGAAGATGAAGATTCAACTCCAAAATCAGACCTTCACATCGATGGAGGCAACGTGAAGCAGGAGGAGAATTCTGACTGTGAGGCAGAGCGAGGCAACTCCCAGCAGTTTGTGGAAGTGGAGGTGTGGGTGGACTTCCTCCGAGACATTACAAAGTCAAATGGAGACCCTGGTAGATATGTAAGCTTGAGACGATGTCGCTCCAATAGATGCACCTTTGTCACAGGCCTTTAATGACAAGAATGTGAAAGTTGAACACTCAATTCCTAGGTTCAACCTGCAGGGTCAGAGCGGCCAGTCTTTGTGGACCTGTGGGTTGCGTAGATCTCTAACCATGAGCGAGAGCCAATAAGCTCCCAAGCATTCACAAGGTTCTAATAATTCCATTTATATGGTGCTTGCTTAATCGCCTCTGGCAATTCGGAGTTTTGTGTTATATCTCGTCTCAAACACTCGAAGAGCACTCCCCAAGTAGCAGCTGCCCCTGTGTGGTACAAGGATGGTGGCCCTGCACCGGCCTGCATGTGGACAAGAAGCCTGTCAGTAGGGGGCGATGGTTGATGTGGCATCTCAGTTGTGGAGTTTGTAGGTGTAGGGTGTTATGGGAAAGAAACACTCGGTGTGGGAAGGTGAGGCACAACCACACCTTGGTGGCTACAACCACGTCTGCTATGGCTCCACCCTCAGTGGGTTATGGGTATAAAGGGCGGGGCGCCAGAGAGCTCAGGGCAGTGTGTTGGGGCCAAGACTGAAGAGCCAGTGAAGAAGGAAGGCCTGCTAGGATAGACCCTGGCACTCCTGTGACCGCTGTCCTTTTCAGGGCCGGCACAGCAAGCCGGTGGTGAGGCCCCAGAGCCCCAGAGCCAGAGTCCTTTTAAGGGCCGGTCTGGTTGGTGGAGTGCCGAGATCTGTGTCTGACCAGGCCCAGATCAGATAGCCTCCTCTAGTGCCTATAGCTGGAGGAATCGGGAGCCTAGGCCTTAGGGTAGATAGCCTGGTGTTATCCCTGAGTGTATATGGGTGAAGGGGCCGCTGCCCCTTCAGGTGTGACCCCTTGTTCAATAAATAGTGCTGCCTCTACTCAACCGTCTCCGTGTCCTGGGAACCCACTACAGGAATGTTTAGAATTGGCTCAATTTTGACCGAGACGCCAGCATGCAATGGCCTACTCGTTTTGAATGGCGCAATAGTATGTTGTACATACACTGTTAAGCGTATTTTTAAAAAATAGCTTCTTGTTAGTACGATGTAACCTGATGCAGTATATTTCACTGCAGTAATTCAATTTTGTTAATATGCCTGTCAATAATTTAGAATTAATACTTGTCTGATTGTGTGCGTACATGTAACTATGTCTATGGGTCAAACATTGAATAAGTGATGTTAGGACAAAGTCTGTTTTGGAAATAACCTGTACAGATAACTCAGGTGAGACTCATTGTTCTTGTGATACAAGGTCAAAGGGTATTTTTGTATTTTCAGGAAGCATCTCCCTCTGGAGCAACTCATTGTCTTTGAAATAGGGAGCACACTCGGATCATTAATCAGTTACAAGGAATACCACTCAAAGGTTACACGTAGAGGAGATACATTCTCTACAACACAAATTATAATTTTGTATTACGTGTTGACGTAGATTTTGTCGAATTAGGACGTAAAATGCTCCTTGCTGATTAACGTCTGGATGTTCACAACCAAGGGCTTGAAGCAAGCCCTGACTGCCTGCGGTGCCCCTCACAACCATTTACGGCCTTGGCCAGGAAAGTCACGGAAAAAATTGCAGACGAACGACGTCTCCACGCAAGCACTCCGATGCTCCGTTTGAAGTTTGAAAATGAAACAACTTTGAATTGTGTTATGTTTTCAATTAGATAATTGTATTTCTTCATTAAAAGCTTATTAATTGAAAACGATATTTCGTAGTGAATTTTCTCTCAGTCGTAAGTAGATGGCCTTGCCGGGGGTTCGGTTCGATGCGGACTTTCACCGGGTTGGGAGTCGCGGGATCGAGACGAGGCGACACAGAGCTGCTGGCCGTGCGAGAAGACCGCCGTCTGCAGATCGATTCCAACGCGATCGAACGTCTGTCCCTGCGCCTCCGTCGTTCATGCAGGGGGCGCGTAGAGGTCTGCAGCGCCCCTGCATGAAAACGACGGAACGTGCAGCGTGAGTCACGTGAAAGTTGTGCGTAAGCGCCATAACAAGGCGCTGTCAGCTGACACTGCCACCACGTTCAACGGGGTCAACAGGGGGCAGCCGAGAGAGCAGCGAGGTGAGTAGGGGTCGACCAAAGTAGACCCCTGGCCCAACCTCCCCCCCGTGAGCCGGAAGACTTCAACACCCCTGACCCCCCCACCCGTCCCTAAGGCCCCTTAAGATAATGATCCTTCCAGAACGTTCTGGGAGAGGGGGGGGGTGGGTTAGGGAGGTCAGGAGTGGAGGGGTGACCCCTGACCTGGGGATAAAGGCAGCCACTCTGGACGGGCCGAGGCAGTGTTCACCAACTCAAGCCTGAAGACATCCGAAGACCTGAAGACTGAACCAGCACCCGGGAACCCTCAACCGAGGCTCTTGTTAGAGCGGGTTGTAGCGGACCAGAGGTGGCTCGGACACCCTGGGACCCTCCCCGAGCTCTAGCCAGAGCCGGGTTGTAGCGGACCAGAGGTGAGCTTCCCGTACCCGGGCTGGGACGGGTCGTCCAGTCTCCCTTAACGCCGGGCTAAGGGATCCCGTGGGTAGCAGAGCCCGGATTGTGCAGGCTGCGAGTAGAAGGGAGGCTGTCGCTCCGGAGGCTATCGGGTGGAAGGGGGCCGTACCCCTGTCGTGTTACGGTAGTGTGTAGAGCCGAGTTTCGAAAGAGTTGTTAATAATAAACGCGTTGCCTCAACCAGACGTCTCCGTGTGATTAGTTAAGGACACAACACTTGCTATTAACAGAGAATAGCCAGTGGGTTTTCAAAGTACCTTCGTCTTACAAAATCAATTTCGCGTGAGCCCACCGCATTAAAACGATGCTCAGCTGAGCAGGGCGAGCCACGTTGGGGGGTAAGGGGGTCACCTTATCTTTGTCACGTGCCGTAGCTCACGTAACTTCTGCCGCGACAATGTCTGGATGTTTTCGCCTGAGGACGACCTCTGGTGTTGCGATCGAAACGTCGCGATTTCTGTTTTTTCTTCGTTTTTTTTCTACCTGCGTGAATTTACCGAAAGAACCAAAGGATATGAAAGACGTCTTGTCTGCTGAGCTTGTTCATATCCGTGTACATCGATGTCCCACATTGCTTACACGGACACACCACACAACAATGAAATAAATAGAAACTAGACGACTTAATTCCGGGGATGGCAAAGATTGAGGAATCATCTTCAATGGAGCGAGTTAAGTTTTGTGCTCGATTCAACATCCTCTGTCCGTCTGTGTCTCTGTTCCCCTCTGTGTCTCTCTCTCTCGCTGACTGTGTCTCTGTGGTCTCTGTATCTTTCATTCTGTCTTCCTCTTGTCTGTGTCTGTCCACCTCTCTCTCTCTTGTCAGTCTCTGTGTGTGTCTCTATCAGCGTCTTCCCAACCGTATTCAACTACCGCCAGTAGCAACATGCGCCCGTTCAACTTTCACGGGCCCACGACTGCACACGACTCAAACTTGCTCCGAGTCTCTGTGTGTACGTTGAACTTCTTTCGCGCCGTACAAAGCCCACCATGCTAATCTGTGGGTCTCTCTGTGTGTGAGTCTCTGTGTGTATCTGGAACTTCTTTCGCACCGTACGTAGCCGAACCTGCACAGGAGGAGCGGCTGGTATTTGTGGAGCTGTTGGCTGGGTACCATCTGTCGGCGGGAGCATTTCACTACGTTACCAACATCATATTTGCACGCATAAGTCGCTTGCCTAATTGTGTCTTTCTTATCGAATCTCATCTCAAACAATCGAAGGACGCCTCTCCCTAAGTGGCAGCTGCCCCTGTGTGGAACAAGGTGGCCCTGCACCGGCCTGCACGTGGACATGAGTCTGTCGGTAGGGGGCGATCATTGACGCGCCATCACCGTTGTGTAGTTTCTGGATAATGTTTGAAATTGCCACAATTTTGACCGTGACACCGACATGCAATGACCTGTGCGTCGTGAATGACACAACGCTATGTTTTTACATCTGCCGTGAAGCAGACTGCGCATATTGTGGTGCATGTTACTGGAGTAGCCAGGTGTGCCTGTCTGATTTGAACCTTGAACCTCTGCAATAAAGAGAATGCGCTACCATATTGTTTGGTTTTCAGTAAAGTCACGTAGATAGAAAACAAAAATAAAGAAAAAAACTCGTTTAT